GGGGGGGGGGGGGGTGCATAGCACAAGACTTCTGTGCTCCAGCATCAATACAGACAACATTATTGCTAGACCTAATAACACAGATTATAACATCAGAGGTTCATTCACTTGCAACTCTACCACTGCCATATATGCCATCACCTGCTCACAGTGCCCCTCTGCTGTCTACACTGGACAGATCCCTATGTGAAAGAATGAATGCTGATCCAACATCAGATGCAGAAGGACATGCAGGCCTGTGACAGAACACTTTAACCTGCCTGGACACTCCATCACTGACCTGACGGTGGCTGTGTGCATGCAGCAAACTTTTAAAAACCAATCTGAACACAAAATTGCAGAATAAGAAATCATGCACAGACTGGATTGTGTTAAGTGTGGTTTAAACAGGGACTTACCCCTTACCTGGATTAACTTTTGTGACCCCTTTGTTCCTATAGGTTTATTGATTGCTTGTTTGCCTCTTTCAGTGCTGCCACCCTCTCTCCTCCCCACCTCTCTTCCCCTCCCTTGTGCTTTTTTGTATTCAAATGTTTCTCTCCTCTTTACACTGCTTTGTGCATGTCCTTTCATAGCATTTGATGAAGTGAGCATCAGCCCATGAAAGCTTGTGCCTAAAAGGTACAAAGCTATCCCACCGTCTACTTGACTTCAGACTAATATGGCTAACTACATCTCTCTGGTTTTAAAAAGATCATTCTTTCATTTCATACCACAACACTGAAAGTAGAAGGTGCTTTAAACATTACTATACAGTTATTAGTCTTGCATTGTTAAAGCCTACATAATTTTCATTCATCTGAATGTTAAACTTACCATCCATGCTGAGGCCCCAGCTTATATTTATAAGGTAGGACCTGAACTGTGTCTCCTTTTCATCTTCAATGAACTTAGCATTGAGATTATAAAGATCTGCAGGTGTCAAGTTGTATGACTGTCTCAACTCAGAAGCAGGACCTTGCAAAGAGGAGACATGAGTGAAAGTTAAGGAGGCTGTGTGGCATTCCAAAGACCTATCCACCACTTAGTTTGTGGATTCTAATGATAATTTTCAGCTACTTTTAAAATAAGTGAAACAAGGTATCTCAGAAACAGTTTACAATTAACAAACCCACTGCTCTTCCATCCGCCACAGGAAATTCTGCTTCTGACACTAATAGTTTATTTACAAGAATTTGATTGTTTCAGTGGTTCTGGTATCTAAATGACAGGTATTCATATCATGTGATACAGTGTGAAGAGATGGACAAGCTTCAAGTCAGATATGATATGATCTGATAAAGCTGTAATCTATATGTAAGCTTGGAAATCATGTATGTTTGCAGTATCATATCTGGTGTAGAACAACTTTTCTTGTACCAAGAAACTGAACAATGACTAACTTTAAACCAGTGCTTCTGTGACAGCAAGCTGAAGCCACAGGCTGTACTGAGTACATCTTTTATGAAGTATAAGTTTGGCAATGGAAGTAAACCTTCACACTTTGCTGCAAAAGTGACTGCAAGCAGCCATGCCATTTATTGCACCAGTGTTTCACCCAGATGAGAAATACTATAGCAAAGGTTTGGGAAGAAAGAAATTAAGATGATAAAGACCCAGTGTATTGGAAACTGTCTCCAGAGAGACAAATCTTTTAAAAGAAGAAAATACAACCTAGTTATTGAAGTGGCATAAGCAAAAAATAGGTTGTTTATCTCATCTGGTAGCTTAGTACAACATATATTCTAGAGACAGAGGACCTGACAGAGATCAAGTATTCTAATAGTAGAAGACATCTATTTTATTTATACATACCTGTCTCTAAACCACACTCAGTAGACTGTAAGAGAGAAAAGCAATGTTAAAATAAAAATACACAAACTGAACAGACAGATCTATTCTAAAGAGGGAAATCTATAATTTCAGTGTTTCAAGTGCTTTAAAGAGAAAGAATCAGTACTCATGGTAGAAGTGATGTCTTTTATTAGACCAACTAGATTTTTGCA